TTCGAAGTGGAATATTAGTTCACTGTTGCTATTTTACGTCGTATGTCTTTCATGGATTTATTGCTCAGAAGTACACATCAACTGAAATCTAACCTATATGACTATCTGTGATAAGGGCTAGTTTTGAGCCTTAGGATGACTATTCAGAATACAATAATCTATTCTGGCTGCCAAAGGTCTGAATAGCCTCAGTTTCAATAGGAGTGTGACTGTCTGGGTGTCTAACTGAGCCAGGCATCAACAGCGTACAAGCTGTTCAGCCCATTCAGCGCGTGTAACAAAATACGCAAACTTCGCCAGTATATCGAGATATAACAGCACAATTTAAGCATGTATGCATACATGCAGGTGTGTCCGTACGGAAAATAGATGCCGTGGGCGGGGAGCGGGAGGGAGGAGTCCCCCGCATTCGATGTGCCGTTCCATCTAACCTGGGCATCTCTCGGTGGGATGCGACCTACATCAACATCGCGTAGCATCGCATCACATCGTATCGGCTGAAAAAGCTGAACGCAGGAAAGCAGGTGTAGTGTCTTTCGGGTGGTTATGCTTAGCCGGCTATTGGAGATTATCCATCTACATGTATACCCCCTCTCAAGGATGGCAGACTGCATACTTTAAATTTTATTAGAATACTACTCATTACTCACACTCAGCGCCTTCCTGTGCCATATAGTGTTACTATAGTACAGAAGTAGATTATCTACCGCCGCTGCACACTGCACAACAACGGCGTCGTTTTTTTTTTCAGTTTCGAAATTGTGGCGTGCCATATATACAACGTTAACTCCTCGGGGGTTAACGGCGTCATTTTTCCTCCGTCACAGAAATCTTGACCTCTGTATTTCAGACTCAATTACTTGACCGGCGTTACTCACTGCACTCACCTGGCTGATGAACTTGAAGAGATAAGGATAATATAGACGGGAAAGGACTGGACATGAAAACATAACGAATAAGAAAAGGGGCAAGAGAGTAAAAAAACGTATGAAAATGACGCAACGCCGTAGCGTGATCGTCACAGGGGGCGCGAGCGGCCTCGGCAAGATCATGAGCGCCTACTTCGCATCCCGCGGCGATGCCGTGACGATCTTCGATATCAACGCCACCCAAGGCGCGGCCGTCGCCGCGGAACTCAGCGCTGCGCACGGAGGGGGCCCAGATCAAGCGGTGAAATTTGAGAAATGCGACGTCGCGTCGTGGACGGAACAGCCGAGGGCTTTCAAGGCCGTGCATGAGCGCCTCGGACGCATCGATGTCGTCGTTGCAAACGCGGGTGTTTCTGAGGGTGGTGGACGGAGTTGGATCTTGCCTGATAGGGAGAAAGAGGGGGGTTTGGGCGAGCCTGAGGAGCCGAGGTTGAAGGTTTTGGATGTTAATCTTTTTGGGGTTGTTTATTGTATGTGTTGTTTCTCATTCTTTCTTTTCTCTGCATTCCCTGTCTCTCTCACTTGTGTGTGTATATTCCGCCTTACCCTTTCCTGCAAGAACAGTAGTCAAGTCATTAAAAGTAATCTAAGACGTAAAAGTCTAGTTGCGATTAGTTAGTCAACTAACAAAGACACAATCTCACAGCCGTGAAACTAGCACTCCATTACATGCAGCGCAACACACCAGATACAGCAACGGGATCCCGCGGCTCAATCATCTGCACAGCGTCCAACGTGGGCTTATACCCATTCTCGCCGGCACCACTATACGCGGCGTCCAAGCACGCGGTCGTCGGCCTTGTTCGTTCGCTAGGCCCTGTCTACGGGCTGCCGCACATCGGCATCAGGATCAATGCACTAGCACCAGCTGTATTAGGTACGTCCTCGGCTATTCCGTATGCTCACCCCTTTCGTGTGGATGAAAGAGAGCTGCCTCTAAGTTGGAAAAATACACCAAGATAATCTAGAGTGTGGCTAATGCTATTGTGAAACAGAGACGAACATCTCGGGTGTAGACGGTCTCTTCAACAACATGATCATTACACCCCCTAGTACCTTGATCGCCGGCGTGGAGAAGCTCCTGAGCGATACGTCGCTCAATGGCCAGGTAGCGGAGATTCATGGCCACAGCGTCACGTTGCGTCCGCCGCACGAAGTCGTCGATGAGGGCACGCAGACTAACTTGGCGGAGTTTTCTAGGTTCGGGTATGGGCATTAAGTAAAGTGAGAAACTAGGCAGTGCCCGCAGAGAGCTGATTGGTGATGCATCGTTGACTGAGAGATATAGAGATGAATCAATGTCTAGGAAAGAGTTCCGCTTGATGCAGAGAATGACTTGGACATTGGACAAACAAGCAGTCTTGGTGGTGTATATTTGAGGTGCCAACAAGCTTGTCGCTCGAGTTTTTATTCATCAGAGCCCCTGATATATTCATACTCTAGCTTCATACTATAAACGTTTTAGTTAAGCTCTCGTTCTAGCGATACTCTTCTTAACATTTCTCCTAACTAATCATTGAAAGAACGTCTAGATCAGACTCACTATTTCCGGCATGTATCAGATAAGACACCATTCACAAAGAAGCCGTGAATCATACGGAGTTCTCGCGCACAGGCTTGAGATTATACACCTCCTGGCTTATACGAGACGAATTCACGGGCATATAAGGTTAGAAGTAGCGACAAGTTGTATAGGTAGCCTCAAGAATCCAATGGGGCGGAAGATATCCGAAGGACCCGAGAGGAACCCAGTTGCCTCAAAAGCATGATCATTTAAACGAGTCTATCTCCTAAACTCTTATTCGCCCTTGTTATACTATACTAGCACATAGTGGTTATCATTTAAAGCTCCGGTGGTCTGAAATCTATGATAAAATTTTCATAATTTGTCTAAATAATCTCCTCATAACCCAGTACTGAAATCTAAACTGTCGTTTGCCTGCTGCTCTCCCTTCCCCTTTCTATCATCTCTTTCCCCCTCATCATTTCCCGTTCCTTTTGCCTCTTTTTTTCTTCCCTTTTTTTTTCTTCCCTTTTTTTTTCTTCCCTTTTTTTTTCTTCCCTTTTTTTTTCTTCCCTTTTCTTCCTTTTCTTTTCTTTTCTATCTTTCACCTCTTCTCACTTCACTCTTTCACCCCCAGTATTTTCTCGTCTCATCTGAGTCAAGACGTATCCCCACTAGTACCCGTCTCACTCGCCCTCCCATGGCGGCTACTTGAACGAGAAAGGGGTATCTGTGCGTCATAGTGAATGGGGAAACATCAGCGTCTAAGGCCATCCTATTCTTCGCGCGTTCGCTTCCTCTTCTTTAGTTGAATTTCAAACTCGCTATCACCAAGGGACCAAGCATCATCCGAATCAAAGTGAAGCTTCACTTCAACCCCGTCAGGGTCATTTTCAGTTTCTCCATCGCTGCCATCAATCTTCTTGGACGCAATCGAGCGTCGTCTATCTCCACGTTTTTCGCTCAAAGACTTCACAGTTGGGGTGGGCGTGCTATCTTCCGAAGAAGTGTCGATAGTCCATTTGTGAAGTTGGCTCGGGGTGAGAGTAGCATTAGGATCCTTTTTCCTAGGGGGTGTCTTAGGTTTGCTCCGGCTTGAGCCCGTAGTAGGAGTAGGAGCAGGAGACGGCGGAGCGACAACCTTTTTGGTTTCAGGTGTCTTAGATACGTGCCGGCCCGTAGCCTTGGAGACAGGTTTACCACGCGGCGCCATAGCACCAACACGACGACGGTTTAGTTCGTACGAGGCCTTGTGAAGCTGCGCAAGTTTCGGCTCAATCCTAGTCTGGATAACTAATCAGCAGTCTCTTCAAAGTACTTAACTCCTTGGGTCGCAATAGCTCATCTTACTGATTGAATCTTCTCGGCGTATTTGATGAGCTCGCAACTTCTATCTGACACGCCCGACAACGCGCATTTCTCCAGTCGAGGCGCTCGGCCGAAGCAGAATACGATGTCCTTGAACTCGACAGGACATGCTCGCCAGTCGACTGCGTAAGATGCGAGAAACACGATTGCCTTTTTCTGCGCTAGAGATAGCGATTGAATGAAGCCAGTCGTCGCCCCTAGCATACTCATCACCGAATCTACCGCTACACCTCGGATGGTACATGCTACGCCATTTCTCGGTGGGTTGCGAAAGTTGAGGAACAGTGCCTGAGATTCAGGAGAATCGGAATGACTTCGCGACAATGTACGCATATTGAATAATGGTATCGAGAACTGAAGGTAATAAGATGAGTTAGAGTAAAGTCCGTGAATGCTTATTGGTTATCGTTTTGGGTATGTCCGAATACTGCAGTGATCGTGGTTAAGGTGTAGTGGCAATACCAAACATGCAGGGAACGATGCTTATATACAATTTGGTATGAAATTTGCCTTGTGTGAGTCTGGACTGTCCAGCCTTCACGATGATTCGGGAATCAGTTGACCCCTTACACTGCGGAAAACGATGGCAGCCATTGTGCCTTTTGTCTCACATTTCTCAGCATCTCTCTCTCTCTCTCGCGGGCTGAAGTCTCCCTTCCATCAGATACGAAGTTGAGATGATTCTCCCCTAGAGCTTTGAATTTTCGGAGCTGATCAATTAGCCCACATTCAGTCAGTTCGTTTTCATACTATCATTCTCTTTGGCTGGGGTGTTCTAGAGAGAGTCGAGGTCATAGGTAGTCTTATCGCTAAATCTCAAACTTTTCCAAAATTTTACAGCTACTTCCTTCTGTGTCCGTCTATATCCATCAGAAATTTTGCTCTAATGATTGGATTACGTGCCACTTTCCATGAGTCTCGCAGCATTGTCTCTCTATACACATCGAACACAGTAATATATATAGACTTTGTACTTGATGCGAGACTGGTTAGTGTTGCATATTATGAAAGAAATCTCTTTACAACCGACCATAATCATTTCTCAGTATTTCTTAATAGTTGTCGTCATAGTATATTGTTGAATAAGATAACTCATTGTCAAGAAGATGATATGTTGTTAAACGGTCCGAATACCCTTTGTGGTGATTATAAAGATAGTCAAAGGATCTGTAGCCAGCGACAACAGATGACAAACATCTGGCGTGGTGGCCTAATGGCTAAGGCTTCTGTTTCCGGTGCTTATAAACCGAACTACAGAGGATTGTGGGTTCGAGTCCCATCCGCGTCGCGTCCTTTTTTCATGCTCATCAAATACTTGAGATGGCTATTTCAGATTTAAAATTTTATTAAACTCTGAGTAACGGTATATATGTATAGTTCTTTTGTTTTGAAAACAGCATGCAGGCAGGCATATTTATTAAGCTAGTTGTATAGTAACATATCTAATGCATTTTAGATGGATGGTAGCCGAGGTATAGTTGACCTGTATGTCTCCGTCTTCGGGCTAAGCTCCCATTAATTCCTCGGTAATGGTTTACATTAGACCATCGGCACGTTTTGATCCAAGGAAGTTGATTAGTTGGCGATGACAAGAGTAGTAAACTGACATACAGTATACAGTAGTACCATAGATACACTAAGCTGAAATGAAACGGGCATGGAGATGTCCGCCATTGACCCGGTAGATTGGAGGTACCCTGGTACTGCCCTAGCCAGGTAGTATCTCACAAGGGTACTTTGTTCCCGCTGCAGCATGCAACCTCTCCGGGAAGGGCAGATCTGACCGTCATTTTGTGTCACCTGGAAGAAAAATTTTCTCACAACATGGGCACTCACCCATATATACATGTACCTATGCCATGACTCCTTTTGAAGTTCCTGGACCTCGATGCAACTTGCCGTTCTGTTATTACTAGTAAAGAACAATTCAATATTTCTCGATTGTAGTCATGTTGATACGACAGGTTTATTGCATGATGTTTCTCCTAGTCGCAGTTCCCGCTAACCTTAGGTATTTGACCTTAAATAGCCCCTAAAGCTCCCCTATGGTAGGATCCTGCGACGTCAGGAGCAGAAAGGATCTTGCTTATTTCTCCGATTGGAAAAGTCGGACAGTTCAGGTATGTACCCACACTTAGGTAATATCCCAAGTTCCTGGTGACTTCCTCCTACCCGGTAGCTCTCCTGTCGCATGCTGTCAGTACCTTGGCAGAGTGCCATAGCTACCTATCTAGGTATGCATGGAATACTTCCTGCTGCCGTACTGGTCACTTGTGCATGGTACGGCGTTTGTGGTTCTCTGTCAGTATTGCTTGAAGCAGAACCATTGCTTGCAGAGTCAATGCTTGTCGGGACAGAACCAGGATGACCTGAATTCCAGAACGATTGCGGCGTTTCTATTGGTTGTTCGTATCGTTTCCCGAAATAGGGCGCATGAATGCCGGTAATCTGATATGCTTGCCTACAGCCAAATGTGACCTCTCACAAGCTCGCAAGCTGACTCACCAATATTGTCGAGTTGCGCGGGCACCTGCAAAAGTTGGCGTGTTGCTCTATCGTTGTGGTTTCAGGGAGTCAATGACACATCTATGCATGCGTCGCTACGAGGATGCCTCTTCCTTTTTATGTTGCGCTGTTTTCACCCCATTTGAATCATTATCTCGTCACACGAGCTCCACAGATGTAGTGTCACCTATAAGCTCGCTTCGATACCAGCTGGGCTCTATGTTTACTATCCACGATAGAACCAAGTGGAGGGTCGACTTTAGTCGGTGGGGGGACTAATGTTGCGACGTACATCGTAGTCTAGCGCTGCACCCTTTCCATTTACACTCTCTTATGGTGCTCAACGGTAATTGATATCGTTAATCTGATTAGGCTGGTCAACGCGAGCGTCTATATCGTACTTTTAGAATAATGCTTGCTCCCTATTGTGATGAGACAAATCTTGCTTGCTGCATCTTGTATGCTGTTCTCGGTGAAGGTTGGTGCTGGCGGCAAGAAAAAGGCCGCAGAGCTAATCGCGCCAAGCATGATGAGGTCGCAGAGTCCCTACAGGCGCCGCACCCGGTAATCCCCGATCCCTGTAAATCAAAAATGAGACCTGTCAGCCTTGTCTCCTTTGGGTAGGCTTCAATGACTGGTGGAGGGAAAAGTTTGTTGCAGTCCATTGTAGCAGAACGGAGGTCTACATTGTATTGTGTCGACTCCTTGTGGGTTCCGACCAAGCCCACAGTTCAGCTTCATTTCCTCCAGCACGGTGCTTATAGCAGCTGGTGGTCAATGCCCAGCCCCGGAACAACTGTTCGGTCGTTTTCCTGGAGCCCCATGAAAGTTTTCTTCCTTTCCACCGCACCGTCAACAAGCTTCCCTTCTTCTACTTCAAGCTCCTGTCTCTTCTTCCATCAGCTCACCTGCCTGTACTCCCATCCCACGACTCCTCTCCTCTCCATCCTCAACCGCACAATCTCATCAATCACAATGGCCTCCGCTCGCATTGTTGCCTCCCGCGCCTTTGCCTCTATGGGCACCAAGGTCGCTCGTCCTGCTGTCCGTGCTTCTTTCGCCAGCACCGCTGCCAAGCGCACCATCACCAGTAGGTTTTCGCGCAGGTTCCAATTGCCCTCGGTCGAGCTCGTCGAACTATAGGCCGATGGCAGTGACAATTCGAGCTGAGCTCTAACGACGATTGGTAACAGGCAATGCTACTCCCTTCCAGGCTGCTAAGCGCCAGCAAGCCTCCAAGATCCTGAGCGCTACCACCCGCCAGGCTTTCCAGCGCCGTGCCTACTCCTCTGAGATTGCTCAGGCTATGGTTGAGGTCTCCAAGAACTTGGGTATGGGTTCTGCCGCTATTGGTCTGACTGGTGCTGGTATCGGTATTGGTCTCGTCTTCGCCGCTCTCCTGAACGGTGTTGCTCGCAACCCTGCTCTCCGTGGTCAACTCTTCTCATACGCCATTCTGGGTTTCGCTTTCGTTGAGGCCATCGGTCTTTTCGATCTCATGGTTGCCCTCATGGCCAAGTTCGTGAGTGATTTTCATCCAAACCCATTTATTTGAATATTATCTGATTCTTTCTCAGACCTAAGCAAAATAATATCCGTCACGGCGACCGGGATTCACACTCCATGCTTGAGTATGTGACTGCACGAATTGAGAGATCCATCCGCTGTGTTATTAGTACGACCTTTCGTCGATACGTCCCGTGGGAAATTCATCATAGAATAATAGATGGTTTTAGACAGGGGGGGCGGGTATAGAGCGGGGTATGAAACCGTCTATGCGAGGGGCTTCATTGCATAGCCTTCAGGCATGTGTGTAACGATGGAAGAAAGGAAAATACCGACTGTTGCTAGGGCGTAGGTCGCCCTATCGCAGTGAGCAACTTGTAAAATACCATACCACGAACCATCCTGATCACTTAACTGGAAGCATGAATCTTTTTTCCCTTTGTTCTGAACAGAAGACCATGAGCATGGATTGGCGTTTGAATTGCAGAAATCACAATTTCCTTAAGCAATTCGAATATCCAATGATCTCTCTTCACCTAACCCAACTCCTTTCGGCTCAATTGGCAGCTGTAATTTTGATTGATTTGTGGCACGACTTCTGGCCACTTTGCTCGATTCAGTGCGTGACTTAATGTCCTGCTCCGTTCTAGTGAGCGGTTTTCTGAACCGGCATGGTGTAGCCTGGTGCATTGGCGGACTGGGCCGGCTTACTCGGGAAACTTTCTCCTTGGGTAATGGACGACCTAGGTACCAATTAGCTCTCCTTTGGCCCACAAAGTATCTTGGTAGCGCCAACTTCTCCCTCCACCCAGTGCCTCGCGCTCCCCTCGCACCTTCCAATTAACAGAGTCAATCCCTTCTATGTGGAGCTGATGCTCACGTCTAACGCTCAGCAGTTAGAGGCCACTTATGGACCGACGCTCTGTATGGAGCAAAGGTGGGCTCCTTGAGCTGGGGATTCTGAGATGGAGACGGGAAAGGAGGGAAAGCACGATGAGACGAGGTTAAAAGATTTAGTTGATCTAGCTACTTCAGGTAGTAGTTTGTTGCTGAGCATTACTACGACTTCGTGCCCACCAAGTCGCTAAGTACCTGAGCGGAGGATAACGGGATGACTTGGGTCTGAAGTCTAGTTGATAGAGGTGGATCATCGAATAAGTGATCGTTGAGGCTCACCTGTATATCTAGCGTTGGTATCCGCCACTACTGGGGCCAACGACGTCTTCTGAGTCCCGATATCTTTTAAATCCACGAGCGCGGTCCCCTCAAGAAAATCGATCGATTTGTTCAAGGTCTTGCCCGAAAGTGAGGCGTAGACACATGAACCCCAGCCCAACCATGTACCAGGCACCAGGCGTGGTCGACGTCCGATCCTGATCCTTTGACGCTTCGGATTCTGCCCCATATCTCGAAGACCGCAACAAACATAGATGTTTTGACTGAGGCAACCACGGAGACACCCGGCTTGGAATGACACGAAGATTCCGTGTCGATGGCATCGAAGCAAAGCAAGGCTGTTTGGAAAACATGGAGAAAGGCCACTGGATATTCCATTGCCTCTAATAACTAGGGAATTGGCAGACAACGCTGGCCGCATAGTAGATGGCTCCTGGCGAGAGTAACAGTTGCTTCACCGGCCTGGTGACGGTCGGAACGGCCGAATGTTAACGACCGGCCATCATTCGATCCGAATAACCGACGACATCAATAACACGGACGTCATTGAGCTGGGACGCCAGATTCACGATTACAGCCGTCAACATCGCAGCGCCCGACCATGTGAAGCGGCGCTCAAGAGGGTCCGATTATCCTACTGCTCATTGGGGTCGAAGCATGTGCTGTTTCGATCCCTTGTAAGATTGGTTAACGCAGTGCCATCGATAGTGACCTGCGATTCGGTGGTGCTGGCCGTCCTGATTACCACTATTCCTTTATGGATATGAGTTGGATTCCCCATTCGACGCTGCGAGCTGGCAATCGTGTTCCTCTGTTTAGGCAATGGGATCATAAATGGTTGCAACAGCTTGAAATTGATATGGGGATTGCACACGATGCGCGTTGTCGGCTGCACAGCGATCGCAGCCACTTGGCCATCGAAACGCTAAAGATCACTTGATGTCGGCCATTGTGTGGATTTTGTTGGTGCTGATGAGGATAGTAGGAATGAATTGTCGAGGCTCAAAGAATGAACGGCGAAAAAACAAAAAAGGCAGTGCTTTGCAGTGGGCTGATCGGACACGCAAGAATGGCATGCGTCGACTGAGGTTCGAATCGTAC